AATGAAAAAAAAAAACCAAGTTCCTGCACCTGTTCTGTTGCTGGTATACCATGAGTAGCTCTTCCTTGTGGCTTCCCTCAGCCCTGGCTAAAGATAGAAAATTAATTTGGTAAATAGGATAATTTACTTATTTTAAAATATTTATGTAAAAGCCGAGTGCCATTGGTTCATGCTTATAGTCATAGTTACTCTGGAGACTGAGATCTGAGGATCTTGGTTCCAAAGCCAGTCTGGGCAGGAAAATCCTGAGACTCTTATGTCCTATTAACCAGCAAAAAGCCAGAAGTGGATCTATGGCTCAAGTAATAGAGCACTAGCCTTGAGCACAAAAGCTCAGGGACAATGCCCAGGCTCTGATAGTGCCCAAGACTGGCATCAAATTATTTGCTAGTAAGATAGTAGTTTTGTGTGAGGAAGGTTAAGCCAATTAAAACAGCAATGACACTGACCCATAGAAACAATGAGCAGCTGTTAATATCCACTGGTTTCCGATGATGGAGCCTCCACAGAAGTGTCTCTGAGTTGGGGATGTGATGTGCAGAGTTACCTGCCATGGCCACTCTCCGTGACCCGATGGAGCTCCTCCAACAATTCTGGGCTTGATTTTGGTTGTGCACACTACAACAAAAAGATTGCAACAATGACTTCCTACGTTGACATTATCTGTAGAAATTTGTTGGCCTCAGGCAGTCTTCTAGCTAAGAAGTGACATAGAGGCAAAGTTTGGCAACAATGATAGGTAAACAGTAGCTAAGATACCAGTCATGCAGCAAAAGACATTAGGTACAGGTCATGAATCTTGATGTTCATTCTATTATCTTTCTCAGGTTAAACAAAATGCTGAACATTCAATGCCTAACAGTACATTTAGTGTTGAGATACATGTGTTTCTATGAAATTCCTGCATATGTTCAGAAAGTAAAATTATATGGTAGGTCAATGGTAGTGATGGATATGATAAATATCTCAATTAGATATTCTCTTTCATATTAGAGTGCTATTTCATCTAAAAGTGCAGTAAAACCTCGTTATCTAATTCACTTTGCTCAGAAGGTGCACTGCAAAGACAAAACATTTTACTTTACTTGCTCTTATATCTTTTCCCCGTAGCTATGAATTTACAACTCTAATCACAAACTAAAGTCAATGAATTCAATAGAATTTATTAGAATTTCTCCTATAGAAGAAAGGAGACAGGGTGGAACATAGAATCTACGATATGTTTAAACCATGCCAATATCATTTAACATCACTTAATATCATTTGTCTCTTCTAATAGTAAGAAGTAGAACTAAAAAACAGACGTAATCGAACATTTCTTGCCTTAGGCAAATTTATTGAGAGGAAAACAGAATACAGGAGCTATAACTTACTTGAGCTTACTGAAGAGGCTTAATAATCTACAAAGATATCATCAGAGACTTTGTAAACTTCAAGAAGTGTAGTTTGCTACTTAGGATATTATTATTGGATGTGCTGTAACTCTACAAAACAAGTTCTTGGAAGTTAAAGATTGATTTCACTTCTCATTACAGTAAATAAGTTGGCACAGAAAATTTCACTTCTAAAACTATAGTGCATAATTATCATTCCCATTTTACTTTGTTTCCAGCAGTGTCTTAGTTTGCAGGGCATTATAATATTAGGTACTAAACAAACAGCCCCCCAAAATGTATTGAGGTAAACTAGCACACGTTAAAAATGAAGCAGCTTGTTATATAGTAACTTAGGGAGTAGAGTTTGTCATATGTTCTTTTCTTCTGGGATTCTGTTTCTTAGAATAATTCAATTTACCTGCAAACTGTCTTTTCCTTCTGTGCAGAACACTAGCTCCTGAGATGGGAATACTGCCAATTTGATTTTTGAAAAAATATTTTCGTCATAATTGTATAATGTAGACAGACAGTTTTATTTCCACAATCAGTTCTTCAAATTTATGATATTTTTTTCTGTAACTTTTGGCAGTATTCACAGGTCTGCAGAAACTTCCCAGGGAATCTGAGTGAGTGAAAGTCACTGAAAAAGGAAACCCACTCTGGTATCTCTTGAATAAATATATAACTTTTAGCACGTATGGTTTAGTGAATCATTTCAGATGTTTCACAAAAGATCAAGGGGGAAGAAAACAAATTATTTGGTTAACTGATGTATGCTGAACATTTCAATCAGCAAAGACAATAAGAAAATGTTTGAGCTTCATAACAAGAATCATCCCTACAAAAACAGTGGCTAAATTCAAGACATATTCAACTGGTCTTAAATTCATACTAGGCTAGTCAACTCTCTAATTATACCCTTTAGACATGGTTAGCTTGGGTGAAAAGAACAAAAGCTATGTAAATTATTGTTTGTCATTTTATTACTTTTCTTCCCTCTATCACTATCATTGACTAGCTTAATCTTGGTCCGTTCAGTACTTAACTACTGCACATATATTTACTCACCATTATCCATTTTACATAATCTTAATGTATATCCAGAGATGCCTCCTCTTCCATGAAGTATTTTAGTTGGAGATCCATTGGAAGAAAGTTTCAAGTAACATTTGCCCCTGTAGTGAGAAACGGTATGGAGGTAATGAACTTTACCTGCCAAGGCAAGGGACAGGGGACATCTCTTTGACTATTCATTTGCCTTACTTTCTTTCATTGCAAGATTCTTGAGGTGGGGAATAGGTAAAGAACTGGCAGCGGATGGCACTGGTACAAGTTTTCTGACAAGCTTCGTGTCCTTTCACATCAACAATATCCAATTCCTCTCCCAAGAAATCAGTGTCATGGTAAATTGAAGAATGACAGAATACTAGGTAATGAATCACAGGTCAGATATGAGAAGGCATAAACGTAGTGTTCCTCAATCTCAAAGAATTGTTGGTGTTTTAACGAAAGAAAGCATCTTCACTGCTTACCTGGGACGCTGTGCCTACAGTTTTGTAGACTGAAACCAGAAAGGGCATGGTCCTTTGTAATGCGTGTACTTGGCAAGCCACTTTGAGATGTTTTAAGGAGACAGAGGTTTCTGACCAAAAATAAGTAAGTAAATAAATAAGTAAATAAGTCCTGAAAAAATTATATCAAAGCAAACCACATCTAAAGATGTGTGGACTGAAGTTTTAAGTTCTCAGAATGTACAGTGGTGGCTTTTGAAAAAGTGATTTAAAAGATAATAAACCACTCTTAATCATAACTCCTTACCTTTGAGATTCTTTTGGCCATTCTTGGGAAAAGAAGGTAAAGAACAAGCAGGTGGGATGGTGGGTACAAAGTCGGCGGCAGACAAAGGCATCTGGAGCCATAACACTGTCGACATTACTGTCTGAGAATGCTGTGCTGGGAAAAATGTCCCTAATACAAGCTGTGTAACAGAAAGACCATGTGAGATAATCCAGCCATCCACCAGCATGAAAATTCTTTCCAGTCATGGTATTTGTCAGCTTCATAGTTAAATTTTTCCCCAAATCTCCTTTTAATTGTTTTAAGTTAGAAAAAAATGAGACAATTTTAAGCTTGAAATACATATCATATATTTTATATCATTTATGTATATTAAATCATAAAAGCAATTGTATTCAATATAATTAATTTAATAATATAATTATACTACATATCACTAATTTAATTATATCATATGTGATAGGTAATACATTATATACAATAACATATAACAAAATAATTATATATCAATACATAATTATATACTACTATATTGTATGTGCATAGCATATAATATATAGTATATATTAAATAAACTTTATATATTATATATTAATATAATACATAATCAATATATTAATATATAACATAATATATGATAGACTACATAATATTGTAGATTGTATTATTACAATATTGTATTTATGTATGTATACAATATTGTTTATTAGCATTATATTGTGTAATATAATATGTTATATAATATGAAATATAGCATATACAATATGCTATATTATATATTACATGGCAGTTAGACAGCATATATTATATAGCATATTATATATTGTGTTATCTATTGTGTATTTTACATATTACATATAATATTGAATATTAAATGTAATTATATATTAATATCTAATATATTAATTAAGTAACAATAATTATTAAATAATATATATACACACTGAACATAATGAATTTTGTTATACAGAGAAGTTAAAAGATCATTGGGTCCATTTCATTAGTGAGCACAAATAGGTGTCCAAAATTAGACCTATTACACATCATGAGATACATACACATTTAACGTCTAACTACCTGGTTAAGAAAACAATAGTTACCTAGGTTAGAAAGTGCACAGGACTTGAGTGAAAATCCAGAAACCACATTAGTGAGCTTGGCTATTCCAGTTGGTGCGCCTGTTGGGGTGTACTTCAACAAGCAGATGTGACTGAGTAAAAACAAAAGTGCAGATTAGTCTTCTAACTGCAAGTAGGAAAATCCGTGAGATAATACAACTTCTCCATTGCACAAAAGTCTTGGTGTGATAGTGGAGGAATTTCACAACACTACCATTAAAAGATAGACTTCGCCATAAATTAAATGAATTGAACTCTTAATGGACTTTTTCGTGACAAAACAAGAATGGTTGTTTTAGTTTTTCAAGGATCCATCACATCCTTCCCAGGGGACCACGCGGAGGCAGGCAGGCACAGAAGAAAGATGATTACAAGGTTTATTAGAGAAGCCAGATTTCCCCCGGGGAGGGAGCCCACGGCAGCCTCCACCATCTAAGTAGCTGCAGGGTCTGGGGTAGGAAGTGAGGTAGATGGGTCTAGCAGACAGAGGGAGGGGCCAGCTGGATGGCGGGAACTCCAGGGCAGGGAGGAGCTCAGGTCTGGGTGGAGCTGAGGACCAAAGGTGGGCTTCATGCTTACAATTTTAAGCTCCTCTTCAGGGCTGAAGCACGAGTTTTGGCATCAAGGTGATTAAAAATAATTTTAACAAGTCAGCATTTTGGTTTTCATGGAATGCTCCCATGTCCCTGAACTCAGTTCCCAGCTCCACTCACCGGTGTTTTGCACTGGGAAAGTGTCTTGTAGCAAACGTGAAAAACTGACAGTGGATGTCATTCGTGCATCTCTCTTGGCATTTCTGAGCACTGCTGGCGAGAGAGTCATTATAGTTCATGCCCCTCATGTCCAGGTCCACGTATACATCTCTGTTGCAAGCTAGAATTTTAAGTGGAAAATAGGAATACCCTTCAGATTTCAGGGGCAAGTGCAGAATTATTGCTGAGCATTTGTCTCTCCTGACTTACCCTTTGAGCTTCTCATCCACCCTCCTCAGAAAGCCTTGCCTTTTATTCTCAATTTGCTTAGTTCATCCTCTCACAAGGAAGCATTAACAGAATACTTCTCACAGCATCCTTCATACAACTATTTTAGACAGGTAAATTTACATATTCATGTTCTGATCTTGCTTCTCCTTGGCTGTCTTACCGACAAAGCTATTCAAGGGTCTGTTTCAGTATTGAGACAATGCACTATTAAGGATTTGATCAAGTAGTTTATTGATCATCCATTTCCTAGGAATGGATTAGATGTGTACTTGATCTTTGTAACTAAACATGGACAGTAGAGAACTTGAATGGGAAAATTACAGAAAAATTTCCTAAATATTTAGAATAAGGCATTTTTAAAATTAACAATAAAGGGCCTGGAAGTTGGCTCAGTGGTAGAGTGCTTGCCTTGCATGCTGAGGCCCTGGGTTCCATTCCTTAGCACCACGTAGAAAAAGCCAGAAGTGGTGCTGCGGCTCAAATGGTAGAGCACTAGCCTTGAGCTGAAGAGCTGAAGGACAGTGCCCAGGCCCAGAGTTCAGGCTCCATGACCGACCAAAAAAAAAAAAAAAAAGAAAGAAAGAAAAACAATAAAATTAATTATATTCATAAACTGCTTTATTAAGTAACAACTCCTTTGTATAACTAAAGATAATAAAACGTATTTTGAAAAAGAAAACAAGGAAAAAGAGAAGCGCCACTTCTGTATTTGTACTTCTTTGTATTTGTTCGCTTTGGCTTGGATTGCTATATTTAATTGGCTTTAATTTTTAATTTTAGGTTGAGAAAGAGGAAGGAAATAAGCTAATGGTCAGATTTGGGATAGTGAGATATGATGTGATTGAACTCAAGGAATTTTAGTGCTTATAGGGCAGAGGCACACATATGTGATCATTTTTTCCCTTTAAAGAAAGAACTTTAGTAGAGATTTACTTCCAAATAGCTGTGCTTTACTTCATAGCCATAAAACTTTATCAGATATAATTGTATATATACACAGCATAACAACAACTACTTAAGAAATCTTACCACTTAGTTGATGTGGACATTGCTTAAAAGAATATCCAGAAATTGCTCCTGTCATATTCACCTTTGGCAATGTTTCAGTAATACTGTCTTTCAGGACACAGGCAAACCTGTTTAAAAAAAATACCACAACTAGGTAAGAATTCATGTATTAAAATAATGGCTCGTAAAAGTCAGCATACAGAAAACCAAAAAGAAGGAACTAAGCTGTATTTCATGAACCAAACAAATAGTTAATTCCCTAAAACAAATGTTTTCTTAGCAGGCTTCTGGTATTTTTATTTCAACATCCTTACATTTGAAAAAGGCAGGATACGTGTTTCTAAAAGTAAACCGGAGTGAGTAAACTACAGCCTTTTGGTAAATTATAGATAGCTGCCTGTTTTTGCATAGCCCTTGAGCCAAGAATATTTTTTCATTTCTATTTCTATTTTTGCAGTACTAGGATTTGAAGTTGGGGCCTTGCTAAGCAATCATTCTAACATTTGAACCGTATCTCCAGAATTTTTTGCCTTTAGTTTTTGTTTTTAGTTAGTTTCTTACTTCTACTTGGTCTGGCCTTTGATTACGATTCTCCTACTTCTGCCTCCAGAGTAGCTAACATTATAGACATGCATTACCATGCCTGGCCTTGGTTTTCGATAATTATTTTAAATAATAATACAAGTATTTTGCCTTTAGACCAACAGAATCTAATGTATTCACCACTACCTTGTTTAGAAAATGCTCACAGGTTCTTATGATAATTTTTCAAATAGGACTTGTTCAGGGTACTATGTAAATATCTGTACATGTGGAAATAATACTAAAAAATGTTGACAACTTGATTTTAAATAAAGGCTTAATTATTGCACTTTTGCACTTAATATGGAAACAAAAAGTGGCTGAAATATTCTAAAAATTTAAACCTAGGACAAATGAAATACAATTTGTGAATGTTTATGAGATTCAGTTAATAGCTACATATCACATTTGAGGAACATGATATAATTTTAAAAAAGATCTTGCTATGTTTCTTATATCTGTGTAGGATAAGTCATGTTGAGATATTTAGAGGTACATTATCAAGAAGCTTACAAATATTCACACACATACTAATAGAGGCAGATAAAGGAAAACAGCAGAGTCTTGCTGATGGTGTGAATTTACCATTTTTCCTTTAATTGTGATTGTAAGTGGCATTTAGGTTTTTCTAATAAAATAACTGGGGGAAAGTTATCAGATATCAATAGCAACTAGAAAGTTAGAGCAAAATGATTAAGATACCTAAAAAGAGAGAGGAAAAACTGTACCCTTAATGTTGAGACTTCAAAAAGCTCCAGGAAAGCTACCCTGAGAGGAATTTAATCATTCCTTAATCTACCTAAGCATCATTTTTTTTTCCTGTAACAATAGTTATTTTAACTAGAGGGCTGTTAACAGCCATTTCACAAAACGACAGATGGGAATTTATCAGTAGGCAATTGGCCTGTAAAATCTACTTCCTCTATGTAAATGGTAAACAAACATTTACCCTTTGGTAGGATCTTCTGATGTTGATTCAGCTATGAACGTGAATAGCAAGCATCTTGGGTGGTGGGTACAAAGTAGTTGGCAATACTTCGCGCTTGGTGTAAAAACAGTATCAACATCTCCCCCTTGAAAGCTTATGTCTCTGAACAGCTCAGTAACACATTCTGTAATATAATGCATGGTAAGTATTAATTATCAGTGGGCACATGTCTAGTTAAATAATAATCTGGCCAAGGTAAGGCAGGTAAGTCTACTTAACCAAAAATATGCCTGAACTTGGCCATAAAGGCAATCAACACTTTTTGTGTCGGAAAATTAATAACCTCAAATGGAAAAAAAATCAAAAAAATTAAGTGAAGTAAGCTAGGTGCAAAGAAATATAGGTCCCATGGTTTCCCTTATTTGCAATAACTAGTATATGTCTGAGACAAGCAGAAAAGGTCAGATAAGATGATGTTAGGTGAAATGAACCCCAAGATAAGGACACAAGTGGTTTTTCTTTCTTGTTTGTTTCTAACGTATTTATAAGGTGATTTTTTTTTTGTTGCTTTGCATGTCCCTCCCCCATGGTATAACCCCTGTTTTCACTGTATTTGATGTTGGCATAATTTAGGGAGGGGAAGAAAAAAAACAAGTTGTTTAGGGATACAGGTGGACCCATTGCAACAATGAGATGTACAAGATGCTATGTTGAAAAACGAACTTTACAACTTTGGCAGGGGGAGGTGGAGAGTGTAGTTGTGGAGATGGGAGGGCAGGGATGGTAGGGGAAAAACAAAGGAGGAGGCAACAATTCTTGATAAGAAATGTACTCGTTACCTGGCTTATGTAATTGTAACCCCTCTGTATGGTATTTTCACAAAAAAAAAAAAAATGAAAAAATCAAAAACCTTGCCTCAAACATCATTCTTATGAGTGACTATCTTGGAGACAATGAATACTGTGTGAAAAATTAAATTATTTCTCAGATTTTTATTAGCGAAAGATGCCTTTTCAGAGACCAACCAGGTCTAGAGGAGCTTGATCCTTTCACCTCTGTGAATTACTTCTCTTCACTCAGCTCTGTGATTATGTTAGCACAGATCATAGACGGCCATTTCCCAGTAGCATCTAATGGATTTCTACAAGATAACATATAATTTCACCTTACCGTGCTAATTTACTAACAGGAGATAGAGTCTTGAAAAAAAATTATTGAATCCCCTTCATCTAAAACCTCAAATAAGTTTTTACTTTTCAAAAGCTAAATTGCATCATATCTTTTTTAATTTTTTAATATTCTTTTCAAATTTTATTTTATTGTAAAGATGCTGTCTAAAGACAGTTATATGAGTAAGGTAATGAGTACATTTCCTATCGAACATTGTTACCTCCTCCTTTGTTTTTACCTTACTATACCTTCCCTCCTCCACGATGCATGGTTTTGGGGGTCATTTTTTCCTTAGTCACTGACTGACTGAAAAATTGTAGTTTTAAATATTGGCATACTCTCATTAAGAAGTATTGCTCTGCACCCCTTTTCTTCTTACAATTCACAAATACACAACAAAATTTCACACACATTTATGTATCCCAATATATATATATATATATCCCTATATATATTTCCCTATATGTATGTATGTATATATGTACATATAGAGATATATGTACATATATACATACATATGTATAATATTTGGTCTAAACTCTGATTCAGCTATATTTCAGAGTTTTGATATGCCATTTTCAATTATAATTAAATTTAATACACCTTCTAATTCCATCATAGTATTAGTCTAATATTTATGATAAAGGGTAAATATACTCCTCAAACATTTGGGAATTTTTGCTGCTACTACAATTGAATGACAAGTTGAATGTAAAATTTTCACCTAAGAGTCTTGTACATGATCAGTTTAGAGTTTTGTTAATATTTCACATCATGCATTAAGAATATTTGACACACAAACATATAGAAAGGTAGGAAGGAAGGAAGCAAGCAAGCAAGGCAGGCAGGCAGGCAGAGAAAACAGAAAGGAAAAGAAAAGAAAGAAAGAAAGATAGAAAGAAAGAAAGAAAGAAAGAAAGAAGGAAGGAAGGAAAGAAAGAGGTAGACAGATGCAACTCTTGAATGCAATGTTCAAAATATGTCATCAAATTTGTACGGACATATTTATCAATAAAATAATATTTTTCAAAATAATAATGGGTGACTATAAGGACCAGTATAATCTTGTCAGAAAAAAATATGAGAGTATATACTTTAAATTTTTTTTAATGGATTGATTTCTTTTTTTATTGTGAAAATACTGTACAGAGGGGTTACAATTACATGGGCAAGATAATGAGTACATTTCTTATCAAGCATTGTAGCCTCCTCCTTTGTTTCCCCTTCTTATCCCTTCCCATCCTTTCCATTCCCCCCCACCCTCCCACCCAATCCTCCCCCCTCCCACCCCACCAAAGTTGTACAGTTTGTTTTCGACATAACAACTTGTACTTCTCATTGTTGCAATGGGTCCACCTGTATCCCTATTTAAATTATTTGTTTTTCCCCTTTTCCTCCACAAGTTATACCGACATGAAATACAGTGAAAGCAGGGGTTATACTGTGGGGGAGGGATATACAAATCAACAAAGAAATAATCTTATAAATATGTTAGAAACAATCGCATGAAAGAAAAAAAAACATTTGAATACATATCTTAGGGTTCATTTCACTAACATCAACTTATCTGACTTTCTCTGCTTGACTCAGACATATAGTAGTTATTGCAAATAAGGGAAACCATGGGACCTATGTTTCTTTGGGCCTGGCTTACTTCACTTAATATAATTTTTTCCAAGCCTTTCCATTTCCTAACAAATGGGGCAATGTCATTCTTTCTGATGGAGGCAGAGAATTCCATTGTGTATATATACCACATTTTCTTGATCCATTCATCTACTGAGGGGCATCTGGGTTGGTTCCATATCTTAGCTATGGTAAATAATGCTGCAATAAACATAGTTGTGCTGCTAGCTTTAGTGTGGTCTTGTTTTTGATCATTTGGGTAAATGCCCAAAAGTGGGATTGCTGAGTCATAGAGAAGCTCCATGTGAAGTCTTTTGAGGAACCTCCATACTGCTTTCCAAAGTGGTTGAACAAGTTTACACTCCCACCAACAACGCAGTAAGGTTCCCTTCTGTCCACATCCCCTCCAGCATTACTTTAAAATTTTAAAATAGTTTTTTTATTGTAAAAATATTGTACAGAGGGGTTACAGTTACATGAGCAAGGTAATGAGTACATTTCCTATCGAGAATTGTTACCTCCTCCTTTGTTTTTCCTCTACCTTCTGATCCCTCCCACCTCCACAACTATACTCCCTCCCTCCCCGTCCCTGCCTAAATTGTAAAGTTTGTTTTTCAACATAGTGTCATGTACATCTCATTGTTACAATGGGTCAACTTGTATCCCTTCCCTTCCCCAAGCTAGAGAAGTGTATATACAAGATGCAGGCACTGACATCAAAAAGAGTGAAAACAGGGTATACTTTAAATTTTTAAATGCCTACCTAGATTTTTCTTTTTCACATATACCAAAATCAAAGAAGAGTTTACTGAGGTCAAATGCTGGCAACAATTAGAAATTAAATGCAATATAAATAAGTTAGTTTTTAAAGGAATGCTTAAAATTTTATTTTAAGTGATTAAAAGTAAGAGTTAAAATACATTGTTTTACTGAATATTAATTAAGTAGTATATAAACTATACATTTTGTGCATATAATGTAAGGAGAATTAGCAATAGTAAAATTGCTGAAATGCATTAAACCATATATGAATGTTTACATAACATTTTCAATCTAAAATAGCTAGTGCATATGTTTATTATTGAACTGACTGCCTTATAGAAAGCTGTGTGAATAATGAGTGAGGTAAATAAAGACTTCTTCCTTTTTCCTGTGAGCAGACTCTAGGCTTGAACTTAAGGCCTGGGCAATGTTCCTGAGCTTTTGTGCTCAAGTACAACACTCTACCACTAGAACCACAGCTCTACTTCTCTTTGGTAGTTAGTTGGAGATAAGAATCTCATGGATTCACTTGCCCAAGCTGGTTTCAAACTGCAATCCTCAGATCTTAGTGTCCTGAGATTACAGGCATGAGTCACCAGAACCACACTAAGACCTCTTCCTTATAATATATTGCTCTTTGAAATCACTTAAGTCTGTTATATATGTAGCTATGGATGTAGATATACAGACAAATGTAACATAGATACAGATATAGATTTAGGCATTGTCTTACTGGTAATCTTTTGTGTAAATGTCCTTTTTCTATGAAACAGCTGGAATTTTACATGGAAAAGGAAAGAAATTTATCTCTATCCTTATAGGGAATAGCATGGGTCCCTTCTTCATAAATGAGTCGCTGTGATACTGTGATCTTCCTTCCTAGACTAATGTTCTCTCACTGCAGGCAAAGAAATTAAGCTATTTCCAGTCCTTCTTTTCTTTTCTTTTTTAGTCAGTCATGGGGCTTGAACTCAGGGCATAGGCACTGTCCTTGAGCTCTTTATGTTCAAGGCTAGAGCTCTGCCACTTTGGAGCCATAGCACCACTTCCTGTTTCCTGGCAGTTAACTGGAGATAAGAGTCTCATGGACTTTCCTGCCTTTTCTGGATGCTCAGATCTCAGCCTCCTGAGTAGCTAGGATTACAAGCTTGAGCCATCAGTGCCTGGCTTATTTTTAGTCTTTACATAGGACAAAGGCTTACTTACCACCAGAAACAGAGACAATGAAAAGGAGATATACCATTTGATGTAATAAGATCATCCTACAAGGAGAAAAAACAATCATGTGTTTAGACCATAAAAAGGTACATTTATAATTCATTCACTGCCATTAGAATCTACAAGAAATAGGGAGGGAAAGAGAGTATTTCATTGAATAGTGCTCACAGATTCCTTATGTTTCTAATGGCCAATTTTAGTTTTTCAAAATCCAAGAGCATCCCTCAGCATGGTGTGTGACCCAGCACTGTCACGTTTGTGCAGAAGCCACATGACAGACTTCTCTTCCATTCCTTTCTCCGTCACTCCCTCCCAACACCTTCCTCCCTCCTTCTCTCCTTCCCTCCTCTCTCCTTCCCTCCTTCCCCCTTGCTTCTGCCTCCAGCTCCCCTGATACTCATATCCTCTGTCATAGTCCTCAGACTTTCTCTCTCTTTCCCATTTTCATCTTTATTTCCTCTTTCAACCCATTTCCTTCTTTACATAGTTGTGGCTTCTCTATCTATCTATCAAAGAGCTCTGAATGGTCTTTTGTTTATAACATGTTTTACTTTAAAAAAAAAATCTACGGCAAGCACACTAATAGATTGGCCTTGGTCACCTTAAAACTGAATGGACTGTTCTATTTTTTTTTTTTAGATGGCTCATCAAGGAGACACACTAGTACTTCTGATTATTTTTCTATATTGCTCTTGAATGTCTTTTTTATTTACAAAATATGTGTTATTGATTAGAGGTTTTAACTAAAAATCTCTAACATGCTCAATTAAACACACCTTGAAAAGCATCCATTCTCTACCACAAAAAGTTTGAAAGTCTCACTGTAATTGAGGCAAATTAGTTGAAAGAAATGTTAGATAATAATTTTTGAAACCGTACCTGAGGAGGTGTTTACTTATTGGCTTCAGCAGTCAGAAAGGCTGCTTTCTTTCTTCCAAAATGGTCTTCATCATTTTCTAAACAAACACACATAGATGATATTCACTGAAACTATTCCTTGCCTTGGTTTCCAGGGTTAGGTATGGTTAGCTCTTGATGCAGAATACCTAAGCAAGTCTCTAAAATCTCTCCATATCAGAAATGTGTCTTAGGAGAGTGGCTAGCATTTTCAATGTGTTCAATTGTTATGTTTTCTTTTTGTTGTATATTCAAACAGGTCACACCGAGAGAGAAAGCTAAAGAACTTGAACTTGCCTGCATGCCTTAGTAGTCAGGCAAAATCAGGCAAAACTGCACGTAACCAAACAATATTTCTAAATACCATCTGTTAACCATTAATTCTACTCCAGGTGCAATCCCAGATATACAAGGAAAACACAGACAGTTTGATAAACTTATTGATTTTCAGTATATGAAAAGAAGAGATTTAAGGAGTTCAATGTTGGGTAGAATGTGATACAGCCAGGCACTGGTGCTCACACCTGTAATCGTAGAAACCCAGAAGGCTGAGATCTGAGGATTGTGGGTCAAAGCCAGCCTGGGAAACAACGTTCATGAGACTTTTATCCCCAATTAACCAGCAAAAAAAAAAGAAAGAAGGAAGGAAGGAAGGAAGGAAGGAAGGAAGAAAGAAAGAAAGAAAGAAAGAAAGAAAAAAAGGAAGAAAGAAAGAAAGAAAGAAGGAAGGAAGGAAAGAAGGAAGGAAGGAAGGGAAGGAAGGAAGGAAGGAAGAAAAAATGAAGAAAAAAAAAGGAAGAAAGAGAGAAAGGAAAAGCCAGAAGTGGAGCTCTGGTTCAAGTGATAATAACCTTGAGTCCAAACACTCATGGACAGTGCTTAGGCCCTGGGCTCAATTTCCAGTAATGCCCCCAAAGAAGTGACATATTTTTCACTTAAAGATTCTGTTTTCCTTCATATAGTATTAGAGATCTATGCAGGCATGATTAGTTCCATAGAATAGGGTTCTCATTTGTATTAGTTATTAGGATACAGAGACCCGAAAGGAAAATTAGGAGATTAGATGTCTAGTTCTTTCAGGACAATAATAAAACAATGGCTTAAATCTTTGAAAGATAAGCGTCCTTATACACGGCAGAACCTTCAAAAGGTAGGATTTGTTGAAATTTATAGAAAGGAAAGACCACGAGAGTTCCCTGAGTTTCAGCCAGCTCTGTTTCTGTTCAAAGGCTTCCCACGGAGCTTGCCCCAGTACCGAGAGCCGCGCAGCAGACATGGCCATCCATCTTGTTCATCATCCAATGTGATTTTAGTTCAGTAGTCTTCACAAGTTGATCAAAATCAAGCCAGCAGCACTGTAAAGCAGCTCCCTTTGGGTCCTCAGCCATGTGGCTTTTCTTGTTAGCTTTCTGGTCCCTCATTTATGACATTAGAAACTACCTCGCCCTAAAACGCTGTGTGATTCCCTCCAACAACCTAATCCAAAAGAGAACCAAAACAAGAGCAAAAATCCACCAAACACGTTTAATATATATGGTTATTAAGGAAATAATATATCTGGTTTACAGAAAGATAATGTTAAGGTTCAGATAAGGCTCACAATTTCCTAAAGAAAAGCTCAATATTGTCTTGTATGTACAAGAAGAATCACAATTGCCATTTTCATTCTTCTAGCATGAAGTCCATGGCAGAAATGACAGTACAAGTTTGTGCCCATTAGAGATCTTGCTGAAGTCATGTGTACCAAAGGAAAAGAAACATTGAACTTGGTTCAGGGACAGCATACTAATGTGACTGTGATCTCCTGACCTTAGAGAATAGCACCAGTTGACCTTCAGCATTTCAATATTTGGAGACACAGAGACCCAACCTCATTTCCTGAGTATTATAGCAATGTTGCCAGGGGCTTTCAGAATGATTTATGAAGTGGTGTGATATTCAGACCCATGTGGCCAAAGTCTAAGATGATTCAAGATGAGAAACATTGGAGAGCTCTTGAAAAAAAAAAAAATCCCGGCTGGGAAGGTGGCTCAGTGGTAGAGCGCTTGCCTTGCATGCCTGAGGCCCTGGGTTCGATGCCTCAGCACCACATAAGCAAAAAGAAAAAAGCCGGAAGTGGCGCTGTGGCTCAAGTGGTAGAGCGCTAGCCTTGAGCTGAAGAGCTGAGGGACAGCGCCCAGGCCCAGAGTTCAAGCCCCACAACCGGACCCAAAAAAAAAAAATCCTACAAAACAAAAACTTCCAGGAAGAAAGACAGAAGGGAAGAGTTAGAAAATTTCCTGAAGGGAAATTTGAATCTTAGCCTTCTATGGCATTATGGGAGACTTTTTTCACCCCCAAGAAAGGAAATTCAGCCTTTAGTTCCATAGGGTAGATAGGTTGAACTTGGCAGAGCTACCCACACAAAGTGCTAATCACTCTTGTTCTCTCTGGAAAGCAGCTGCTCACATGTTTTTACTTGAACTACTGCCAGTGCATTGTGACACACTAGGCAGGAAAAAAAAGCCTTTAGTTTCTGGGGCTTGAGTTTCTCACTTAAAATTAAATCCATTTCAACCTCCCCCCACCACACACACACCCAAGCATGTGTGTGAAAAACCTGGCCTTTTTTGAAGCTCATATATAGAAAGAAAAGTTTATACCAAGAAAAGTATTTGTGGCAAGATGATATGTGAGATTAAGTTAAATCTTTCCCTGTATTATCTGTTCTCAGAAACTCCATCCTAGTCCTATAAAAAAAAAAAAAAAACCAAGGTAATAGCCCTCAATCTATTGTGAGAAACACGAAAACTTGAAAAGATAGAATGAATGCTTCACTGGAAAACCAGATGATGTTTTCCTAAATTTGATTTAACTAGTATACTCTCTAAAGCCTTTGAAATAGTACAAATGCCAACTCTGACATACTTTTGTCTAGTCAAAGTACAATAAGAGTCTTAACCTGGATACAAAACCCCTAAATAGACCTTTCTTTCAAAGTGGCATTAGGCATTCTAAAAATTCTTTTCGACTTAAGTATTGCAGCTTAAAAAGTATGATACTGACTTTTTAGTTTGATCTCAAATAGGCTTTTATTTTTAGTGAAATAAAATGTTTTTAAGCCTAATCTACCTTAGGAATTAGTAGACAGGATCACAAAAAAGAATCTAAAATTTAGTTAAAACAGATCCAACTGTAAGTCATAGGTTAGGATCACAGCTGAAGTATGCATTGAACCTATTATGACCCAAATCTCTCTATTGGGGGCAGGGAGACCACAAATATCTGCTGAAAATTCTTCATAGTCATGGCTTCCTCTCATCAAACCCTGCTTTGAAAAAGTGCACAGACTGCCACATCTTGCAACTCCCATCTGGCTGTTAGCCGTGAAATAGCATCTTTTTATTACTAGGCTTTAATGCTGAACTTTGCTCAGTGCTTCTCAACTCCTGGATTTGGGTTATTCTTTGTTGTGAGGGAGACTCTAGGATGTTGAGAAGGGTCATAGGCTGGAAGCTACCCACCACAGTTGTATCCATTACTTATAACAACTAAATTGTGTATAGACTTTGCCAAATAACCCCGAGTGGAGAACTTGTCTTGGATGACCATGAAAAGAAAAAAAAAATGATGGTTATAAATGTCTTTGTCATCTTATGGTAGCATGATGCATCATAATAGGGACCTGGAAGACATTATCTGGGATATGAATGTCAAGCTTAGTCTTGGCTGTGACTTTGCTAGTGATCTTGTCTTCAAGCTTCCAAACTTCCATGTCTCCTCCTCCCCCTCCTCCCCCTCCTCCCCCTCCTCCTCCTCCCTCCTCCTCCTCCTCCTCCTCCCCCCCTCCTCCTTCTTTCTTCTTCTTCCTTCTTCTTTTTCTTCTTCTTTGTTCCAGTCCTGAGGCTTGAACTTGAGGCCTGGGCACTGTCCCTGAGTTTCTTTTGCTGAACACTAACAATCTACCATTTGAGTCACAGTGCTACTTCTGGGGTTTGTTTTTTTTTCAAAAGTTCATTGGAGATAAGAATTTCGTAGACTTTCCTGCTCGGGCTGGCTTTGAACCACAGTCCTCAAATCCAAGACTCCTGAGGTGCTAGGATTGTGGGCGTGAGCCACTGGTGCTCAAGCTTTGCCTGGTTTTTATTACACACATATCCATTAGATATTTGCTAATATACGATATGAAGGCACTCACAGTTGAATCACGCAAATGGACACAAATAATAGTCAAAATAAAGCTATGCTTAAACTAGAGGCAGACATTGGAGCCCTTGCTCCCATCCTGTGAGCCGGTGTGTCCCTCTCAGCTATGTAATCCACACTCAGGCTTTTGGTGCAAGGCAAGAGCAGAGCTAGTTTCCTGGCTGACTCCTCACCACCCTTTTCTTGGAAGGACTTGCCATAGACTACCCCTCCTATCGTCACTCTTCCAGGGCAAGGGTGAAGTCACTCCAACCTCCTATTTTCTTACACTCTTGCCCACTTCTTAGGCTCTTAACTGTGTGAAAAGCTCCTGTATTGCCCTGAACACTAACACTTAGTGAAAAACAAACAGAACACCCCAGGACTCCTGGGATCCTATTGGCAAACTTTAAAAAGATTATTTATGCTTTAGAAAGTTCTACATTTCAAAACTCTCTCTTTCTCTCTTGCTCTGGCTCTCTCTCAGCCCAGCTGAGGTCATCTCCTGAACACTGAACAACAAAAGCCCAAGTTTACCCTGCAAGCACTCCAAAGTCCTGTTTAATTAACTCCTTAGAAATAGCAATACTAAAAATCCCAGTGTAACTAACAGATGACCACGGCAAAGCAATAGGTGTAAAACAACTTGCATGAAAAACCAGACCAAGATCTTTATGGCAGGCAAAAGTAAAGACTGAAGTTGTGTGCTTTAAAAAATAGTTAAGTGAAGTAAGCCAGGCCCAAAGAAACATAGGTCCCATGGTTTCCCTTATTTGCAATATCTAGTATATGTATGAGTGAAGCAGAAAAGGTCAGATAATGTGATGTTAGGAAAATGAACCCTTAGATATGTATTTTAATGTTTCTTTCTTGCATGCATTTGTTTCTAACGCATTTATAAGATTATTTCTTTGTTGCTTTGTATGTCCCTCCCCCACAATATAACCCCTGCTTTCGCTATATTTGATGTCGGTATAATTTGTGGAGGAAATGTGGAAAAACAAATCGTTTAAGGATACAGGTGGACCTGTTGCAACAATGAGAAGTACAAGTTGTCATGTCGAAAACGAACTTTACAACGTTGGTGCGGGGGGCGGGGGGTTGGGGGGGCAGGGGAGAGGAGGCTGGGAAGGGATGTGAAGGGTAAACAAAGGAGGAGGCTGCAATGCTTGATAAGAAATGTACGCATTATCTTGCCCATGTAATTGTAACCCCTCTGTACAGTATGTCCACAAAAAATAAAAATTAAAATTTAAAAAAAAAGAATGTTGCAATATGTCAACCATTAGGATGAGACATGAGAATAAATGACAGATCATATACAAAAAAAAAAAAACAGTCAGCTGTACCCTGAAAATATTACAGGAAAGAATCGGAGAAAATCTAGGGCTCCTTGGAACAGGCTGAAATTTTCTTAATAAAGATCCAGAAATGCAACAAATCAAAGAAAGATTGGATAAATGGGATTGCATGAAACTGCAGAGCTTCTGCATGGCAAAGGACATAGCTAGTAAGATCAATAGAAAGCCCACAGACTAGAAGATCTTCACTAGCTATACAACAGATAAGGGTCTCATTTCTAAAACATACTTAGAACTCAAAAAATTAAGTCACCCAAAAACAAATCCTCAAACAAACAACCACCCCATTAGTAAGTGGGCTAAAGACTTAAAGAGAGACTTCTCTGAAGATGCAATAAGAATGGCCAGTAGCACATGAAGAAATGCTCAACCTCCCTAGACATAAAAGAAATGCAAATCAAAACAACATTGAGATACCACCTCACCCCAGTTAGAATGGCTATAATCAAAAAAAATCTCACAGTGACAGATGCTGGAGGGGATGCGGCCAAAAGGGAACCCTACTGCTTTGTTAGTGGGAGTGTAAACTTGTTCAACCACTCTGGAAAGCAGTATGGAGGATCTTCAAAAGACTCCACATAGAGCTCCCCTATAACTCAGCAATCCCACTTCTAGGCATTTACCCAAATCATCACAAATAAGGCCATACTAACGCAACCAGCACAACTATGTTTATCACATAACTAAGATATGGAACCAACCCAGATGTCCCTCAGTAGATGAATGGATCAAGAAAATGTGATATATATATATACATATATATATTTATATATGAATTCTATGCTTCCATCAGAAAGAACAACACCGCCCATTTGTTAAGAAATGGAAAGACTTGGAAAAAAATCATATTAAGTGAAGTTAGCCAGTCCCAAAGAAATTTAGGTCCCATGGTTTCCCTTATTTGCAATAATTAGTATACATATAGGATAATCTTATCAGATGAGCTGAAAAGCTCAAAAATGACCATATAAGATGAAGCTAAGTGAAATGAACCCCAAGATATGGACACAAGAGGTCTGTCTTTATTGTTATTGTTTTAAATGTGCCATGTGATTTTATTTTGTTGTTGTTGTTTCCTTTGTATGTTCTTTCCCCTATGGCATATCCCCTATTGTCACTGTACTTGATTTTGGTACCCTGCATCTTGTATATACATATGTCTAATCTGGAGAAGGGAAGGGAAATAACAAAATGCTGAAACAAGGACACAGGATGACCCATTGCAACAAGGATACCCACAGGACAGTATATTGGAAGCAAATTTTACAACTTCGAGGCGGGGGAGGGGGGGAATAGGGGGAGGAGAGGAGTGTGGGAGGTAGGGGAGGGAAGGGTTAGTAGGACAACAACACGGAAAGGAAGGGCTAACAATGATAGACAAGTAATGTCGTCCTTGCCTGACTCATGTAACTGTCACCCCTCTGTGCAACATCTTAATAATAAAATAAAAGTTTAAAAATGAAATAAAATAAAATAAATAGCTGCCATCTACCAGGTTTTATAAGAGCTATTTGTTTGTGGCCAAATCTCTTTTTTATTGTGAAAATATCATACAGAAGGGTTACAATCACATGAGCAAGGTAATGAGTTCATTTCTTATCCAGCATTGTTGCCTCCTCCTTTGTTTTTCCTCTACCATCCCTGCCCTCCCACCTCCACAACTACACCCTCCCGCCCCCACCAAAGTTGTAAAGTTCATTTTTCAACATAACAACTTGTACATCTCATTGTTGCAATGGGGTCCTCCTGTATCCCTATTTAAACTATTTGTTTTGTCCCTTCCCCTCCACAAATTATACCAACATCAAATACAGTGAAAACAGGGGTTATACCGTGGGGGAGGGACATACAAAGCAACAAAGAAATCATCTTATAAATAAATGTTAGAAACAATCGCATGAAAGAAAAAAAAACATTTGAATACTTATCTTGGGGTTCATTTCACCTAACATCAACTTATCTGACCTTTTCTGCTTGTCTCAGACATATACTAGTTATTGCAAATAAAGGAAACCATGGGACCTATGTTTCTTTGGGCCTGGCTTATTTCACTTAATATTGTTGCCAAATTCTTAACTCTTGTTTTCCTACCACACAGCCTACACATAACCAGGAACTCTTGGTTTTCTTCAGCTACTTCCTCTTCAGGTATATCTACCATGTACCATACCTTTGAATATGGAAGGAAAAATTGAATCTCCTGTAGAAATGTTCACTTTTCTGTTTTTTTGCTTTCAGGATATTTTGTAAATGGTCTATTCTGGGTCAAGATACCAACAATTATCTGTACCAAATAAGAACCAAATCAAGATACCAACAATTATCTGTAGTAATCACTGGCAACTTTGGAATGTATGTTACATAAGGATTTATGTTACTCAATATCACTATGAATGTACAAGTCTTCGTTTTATGCAAAACTTTACACCTAATGATGCATTTTTAATTAGGTTGCAGAACTCAATTTCCACTAAACTCTCAGGGTTAACATTCTTTTCAAAGCAAAATTCTTGCCCTCCATCCAGGCTCTTTCTGAAACTACAACCAGGAAAATGTAGCTCTATAACCCTTATCTGCATATCTAGCCTGGACCAAGTATTAATGCCCAGCTCACAAAGGTAAGAAGAGACTGACATAGAATAGTGCTCTGTTTCCCCACCTGCAGATGACTCCTCTTTTTATTGCAAAGTGGAATGTTACACAGAACTCTTTCCCCTGGGTGAAATGAAGCTCAAGCTTTCCCGCTCTTTACCCCCAGTGTAGCAGTGCTTGGTTTAGAGAATAATTCAAAATAATTGATGAAGTCTGAAGCTTACAGAAGTGGCCACTAAGAGGTACAGAGTTTCAAGGGAAACAGTAAGCGGCAAAGACCCCAGTCACTGTGAGAGAATCTCAAGCAACTTATTTTCAGTTCCGTTTCATAGCTATAAGAAGACATTATCTACTCACACTCATTGGACATTTTATTTCAAAAAACAACAACGACAACAAAAAAACAAAGCATGAAGCTCTTCAGTCATCTCCCAATAGAAGCTTCTGTGACTAAATTTTCAAAGCATGTTTGGGCAAGATAGTGTCATGAGACAATGTCCCTAGCAGCTGTGTACTCATTGTGTTCTTCTGATTTGTGACAAGGTGAGGTAGATGCTACTGTACATTTGCGGGCAAGGATCTCAAGGCTCAGCGTTGGGCTTGAACCCTTGCTGTAAAGTGAGTACTGCACCCCAAGCTTTTCCTCAGCTCTTCATGGCAATGTCATTGACACATCTCCACTGCCATTCTGGGTCTTCTCCAAAATCCAGTCCACGTACTCCGCAACTTTGGTATAGACACCTGGTTGTTCCTTGCGGGCACAGCCCTCACCCCAACTGGTGATGCCAACCAATTGCCACACTCCATTGTGCTTACAAACCAAAGGGCCACCGGAATCACCCTGGGTCACAGTGGGTTTAAAAATACAACGAGTGAAGGTGATATCAGAGGTACAACAACATCTCACACAGCACACACAACACACACAGGCATCTCCATTCCCATCTATTTGCATGTGACGAAATTGACAAAAATGGTTGCATTTTCCATGTATTCCAGCTTCCATCCATAAGTAGAAGCAGCTAAGAAATTTTGACTTCCTTATTCTTGAGTCAAAGAACTTGTATGTTCTTATATTTTAGTATAACTACAGTACATATCATTGTTATTCTGAATTACAGCATTCACCTGCACCGACTGTGACATACGGATCATAAACAATATGGGGAGCACATTATATATGTTAGATGGTGTGTGTAAAATCAGCAGATAATTTCCGTCTGAAATTTTAAATGCCATGAAACACCTTACTGGAAACTATTTTTGACATTAATTATCTCTAGCGAAGTATTGTGCATTGTTTCATAATGAAATGTGTTACCTTGCAAGCATCTTTCCCCCCTTCTTTGTAGCCAGCACAGACCATCTGTTTGGTGATGGTATAATCTCTATATCTTTTCTGGCATTCTTCATTTGTTACCAAAGGGAGACTTGCCTTTTGTAGAGTATTTTGGATTTCATCTATGAAGCAACCAATATACAAGTTCAAAGGGAGGAATACAATATACATGGCACCTAAAATCTTAGAACAAATCATGTGATGCACTTCTCAGTAGGTTCATACATATATTTGCGTGTGTGTATGTATGGTTATATATGTATGTGTATATACATATGCATGCATGTATACATTTATATGCTTATACGCTGTTGTATATATATATGTATACATGTATATGTATGTATATATGTGAACAGCTAATGAATATCTCTCACATATGCAGATAAAGACAGACAGAGACAGCTAATGAATATCTTTCACATATGCAGATAAAGACAGAGACAGGCAGAGAGACAGAGAAAGATCTGGAGAGAGAGAGGGGGAGAGATAGACAAAGGAAGACACAGAAAGATAACAAGAGAGTCTGAGAGAGACAGGCAGGGAGAGAACTGGAGAAAGAAAGAGAGAGAGGAACAGGAATGAGAGAAACACAGAGACAGTTTCAACAATCCCATTACTTAAGCTGACCAGAGACTGTGTCTTAGCCTGTACCTCCTCTCATCTTAGTCTAAGCCCCTCGGAGGGCGTGCATTGCCTCCAGTATGATAACCTGGATGTTCTAACCAGTAGCTGCAGCTTTTATCTAGTCCTAAACCAAGATTATAACTATGTTCATATTGCATTACAGTAGTGGTGGGTGTATATGGAAAAATATGAAAATAACACTTGTACATCATAGTTTCCAAATTATGGTAGTTATTAAAACAACTATTTAATACATTAATATAGATGCACATCTACCACTATACCTATCCTTTTAGCTTTATTGTAATCAAACTGGTTTTCTTCATAAACCTATGTGCTTGATGTAAGTATTTAAAAGCATTAGAGAAAATGTCACAAGCATCACCAGATCATGAAACAAATGAATGTAAAAACAGATTAAGAACTGGCCTTAAAAAGAGATTATGTGTCTCATGGTCTATACAGCTATCTATTTGATGTCAAGGAAGAACACAGAATGGGGAGGCAGAAATCAATTATTTCTAATATTATTATTAGTTTTACTATTGCAATTAATATTAATAGTGTTTAATATTAATAGCTTATCGACAACACTATCAATATCAATAGCACGTAATTGTTAATGGTAACTACTATTGATAGTAATAGTAATTAATATTAATTTGTAGCTATAGTAATATTGAGAACCAAGTGGGCTTGTTGATCATATAAAGGCCCAATTTCTCAAAGTCAAACAAATAATCTTCATTGTGAAAGATGATGCTAAAAAAATTTACCTCATTGTATGTTCAGTGCCAAAACCAACTATATCTCAGGAATCACTGAACAAATATTTGGGAATATATTAATTAAAAGTTTGGCCTGGTGCAGAGACTCGTACCTATAACCATGGGTGTTCTGGAAGTAAAACTAAGGAAAATCTCAGTTTGTGGCCAGCTCAGGCAAAAGTTAGGAAGACCCATCTCAAGAAAAAGGCTGGGTATGGTGGCACAAGCTTGTCATCTCCAACTACCCAGGAAGCTGTAGGTACGAAGATTGTAACCTGAGGCTGGGCAAAAAACATAAGACCCTATTAGAAAAAAAAAATAGCAAAACATGAAGGGGTTGGGATGTGGCGTAAGTGGTACGGTACCTGATTCAAAAGTGTGAGAACTTGAGTTCAAATATCAATACTCATAAACTTGGACATCAATTTAGATGGGAGCTGATTTAACATGTCAGAATAGGAAAACAGAGAAAATGTCAACCTGTACCTTTTTCCTTAGTGTAGCCCCATCCTGTCACCCAGCAGTTGGTATAAATTGTATTTATATCCGCTTTAGAAGGCAAACATATTGGCTTTTGGAATTCTGAAAGATAATGTTAAAACTAGGTTAAGTGACATTACTGATACTGACTTTGAAAACACACCTTTAACTATCCCTAGAAGTTCTTTCCACAGACTCCTACTGAGAATGAGCCTTCTGCTCGCTGCTTAACTTCTGAATTGGTGATTCTTGAAAATTTCTCCCCCACATGACATAAAAATAGTATGGACATTTCCTTGGTTAAACCAAAAGTGAGAACCCAAATTTACTGTCAAATGCTGTTGTAAGGCCTTGCCTTTTTTTTTTTTAAGTATATATTATGAATCAGTCACAGCAGAAGTGTTCCATGAAGTGCCTTTACTTATTATCTTACTTATTGTAACAAATGGAGAGAAGAAATGATTCCCTTCATTTTAGACATGAGGATATTAAAGAATAAGTCAGAAGGCCAGTTGCGTGAGGTCACAGTTGTTAATGGGTCTTTAGAACTGGGTTGTGTGAGCGCACATTGAGTTTCTCTAGAGTGATGCTCCAAAAGGATAAGGCTCCCTTCTCCCCAGAACTTACTCATGCATCTGTCTTTTCTCTCCAGAAGTTCATCCTGGAAAATAACAGTCGTTCCCTGACACTCTCTTCATCCCAGTATCCCTAAATTCCAGCAATGATTCTGGTGATTCTTACCAAAAGAAGGCCAATGCTCTTGTTTGGGCATGGATATTAACTTGGCCTACTATTATATATTTTTTTCCTGTGCCTGTACTAGAGCTTGGACTCAGAATCTGGGTATTTTCATTTTGCTTTTTTTTTTTCTCAAGCTAGTTCTTTACCACTTGAGTTACAACTCCACTTTCTAGTTTTTTGCTTGTTAATTGGGGATAAGAGTCTCACAGACTTTCCTGCCTGGGCTGGCTTTGAGCCACAATCTTCAGATCTCAGCCTCTGGAGATAGCGAGGATTACAGGCACGAGGCACCAACTTGACTCAGCCTACTATTTTAACAACATCTATTCATCTGTGCTACTTTCTGGAAAAACTACTGATCATTTCTTATTTTTTTTTAATGTCACAGGAATGTCATTTTCTTGGTAGTCCTCAACTTCTACTTGACACCAAGCAAGAAGTAAAGGCAACCTCTGCAGATTTTGCCTCTCATTCAAGCTGATACTTAACTTAACCAAGTGTCATTCACTTTATAGCATTTCCTTAAATAGGTTGCATACCAGTATTATTCAAAGGAGCCTGCAGTTTTATTAAGGCAATGTCATGCCCTCCTTCTGAGACTTTATAGTTCTCGTGAATAATAAGTTCTTTTATTTGTGAGAAAGGAGTTTCTTTTGTAATTTCGGACAGGTTTATAAGACCACCGTAAATGTGCCAAACATCCATGTGGGGCATCCTAGGAGAGAAAAACATAAATGTCTGATGAGACCTAGGATTATTGCTTGTTCCATTTTTCCTTTCCTTTCCTCTCTTAAAAAAGGCTAAGGAAGAAAATTCTACATATGATCCATTTCCTCTTCCTGGTAAATTGTGATCACCCACAGCAACAGTACTGGATCTCTGATAATTTTGTTTACAAAAAAGTACCTATAAGCTGAACACTGGTGGATCACACCTGCAATCCTAGCTACTCAAGAGGCTGAGATCTGAAGATCCTGATTCCAGGCCAGCTGAGATAGACAAATCCTCAAAACTCTTCAATAACCAGCAAAATGCTGGAAATAGAAGTGTAGTTCAAGTGGTAGAGTAACATCTGTGAGTCGGGGAAAAAACCGAGCAAGAGCATGAGGTCCTCAGATCAAGCCCTGGTACCAGCAAAAACAATTCTAGTGTAAATATTATCATTCTTAAATGACTTTCAATTATATCACAATGATTCCAGCTCTACCATCTCTTAAAACACAGTACAGAACCTTCAAGAATGAAAGTGCTTGATCTCAATTTTGGTGTACTTAGAAAAATCAGAGATTAGTTCCCAGCTCAGGACATTCTTTTTTTTTTTTAATTTAATTTAATTTTATTTGTGAACATACTGTACAGAGGAGTTACAGTTACATGGGCAGGATAATGTGTACATTTCTTACCAAGCATTGCAGCCTCCTCCTTTGTTTACCCTTCACATCCCTTCCCAGCCTCCCCCCTCCCCCCTAATCCCAATCCTTCTCCTTCCTTCCCCCCCAGCCCTCCCCCCCCTGCACCAACGTTGTAAAGTTCGTTATGGACATGACAACTTGTACTTCTCATTGTTGCAACAGGTCCACCTGTATCCTTAAACAATTGGTTTTTCCCCATCTCCTCCACAAGTTATACTGACATCAAATATAATGAAAGCAAGGATTATACTGTGGGGGAGGGACATACAAAGCAACAAAGAGATAATCTTATAAATGTGTTAGAAACACATGCATGAAAGAAAAAAACATTAAAATACACATCTAAGGGTTCATTTTCCTGACATCACATTATCTGACCTTTTCCGCTTGACTCATACATATACTAGATATTACAAATAAGGGAAACCATGGGACCTACGTTTCTTTGGGCCTGGCTTACTTCACTTAATATAATTTTTTCCAAGTTTTTCCATTTCCTAACAAATGGGGCAATGTCATTCTTTCTGATGGAGGCATAGAATTCCATTGTGTATATATACCACATTTTCTTGATCCATTCATCTACTGAGGGGCATCTGGGTTGGTTCTATATCTTAGCTATGGTAAATAATGCTGCAATAAACATAGTTGTGCTGGTAGCTTTAGTGTGGTCTTGTTTGTAAACATTAGGGTAAATGCCCAAAAGTGGGATTGCTGGGTCATCAGGACATTCTTTTCTGGGTCAATCATCTTCCTTCCACAAAGTCACATATTGACCACACACACACACACACACACACATGCACACACAGGTAACTATAGGGGCCAGGCTATCCTCCACAAAGCCACTGACTGCTGTGGAGTTGTGGCAGTGTGTAGATTCTAATACACAGCTCCTGGCCTTACCCTTTGGGGCAGGGGAAGGGTAAAATTCCACTAAATAAAAATGTTTTTGAATACATATCTTAGGATTCATTTCCCTAACATCAACTTATCTGACCTTTTCTGCTTGACTCAGACATATACTAGTTATTGCAAATAAGGGAAACCATGGGACCTATGTTTCTTTGGGTCTGGCTTCACTTAATATAATTTTTTCCAAGTCTTTCCATTTCCTAACAAATGAGGCAATGTCATTCTTTCTGATGGAGGCATAGAATTCCAAACCCCTCTGTACAGTTTTTTCACAATAAAAAATTAAAGCATGAAAAAAAATGTTTTGATTTGTATTTATTTTGGGGAGATCCCAAGTACATCTTGGTATCTCTTTAGCTTATTCATAAGCTTTGTCCATTTCTATAATTCTTATGGAATGCAGTATATGTTAATTTAATATTTTCTGAGCAATTGTTATATTTCAACTATGATGTTAAATATTCAAATGTCATTTAATCATTCTAACAACATCATAAATTAGATACTCACACTTGTAATCCTAGCTACTCAGAAGGCTGATATCTGAGGATTGTGGTTTGAAGCCAACCTGAACAGAAAAGTCCATGAGACTCTTCTGTCCAATTTACTATAAAAATCCAGAAGTGGAGCTGTGGCTCGAGAGGTAAAGCAATAGCCTTGAGCACAAAAAAAACACAGGGCCAGCTTCAAGGCCCAGAATTCAAGACAGGAAAAATATTAGATTAAAAAAAAATTTTAAACCCTCAAAAGGATTTGTGAATTGCCCAAAACCACCATTGTAATAATTGATGGAGCTGTGACTCACAAACTACAAAGTTTCAGTGTTTTAAACTTCAAAATTTGACATATTATACTCTCTATCCAATAAAATAGTACAAATTGGCCACACACTGTGTTCTGATGGCCTGGACTAGTTAGGCCCCTACATTCTGCTAAATATTTTGAATATCATCTCTCCTTAAAATGTCTTCGATATCACTAATGTCAGGGATATACAAATCACATCCACTTGCTCCACTAAGAACGGCTGCTACAAAAAGTCAAAAGTAACAAATGTTCGGAAGGTTGTGGAGGAAAAGGACTTGTATATTATTTTAAAACCTGGGAGGAAACCCAGATATCCAACAACTGGTCAATGAATAAGATAATACTATGCAACAACACAATGGAATACAATTTAGCCACAGTAAAGGATAAATTGTCACCTGTGTTAACGTGGATAGAACTAAAGAATATCATGCTGAGTGAAAGAAGCCAGGAACAAAAGTCAAATGCTAGAAGAACTGACTTCTGTGTGGATTTTTTAAAGTTTATCTCATAGTACTTGAGAGCTCAGTGGCAGTTTCCAGGATCAGAGGAGAATAAAAGAGCATCAAGGACAGGGGCAGATTTAACAACGACTATTAAGTAACATCTAGATAATAGTAAAAAGTCTTTGGGAATTGTTGCATGATAGTATACTGTATATTTCAAAAAATCTAGTCGAGAATATTTCTGTGGGCTCACCATGAAGAAAAAATAAATGCTTGAGGAGATAAATAGATTTACCCTGACTTAAATATCTCACAACAACCAGGCACCAGTGGCTCATACCTATAATCCTAGCTGTTCAGGAGACTAACATCTGAAGATCAGAGTTCAAAGCCAGAATGGGCAGAAAAGTCTGTGAGACTCTTATTGTCAGCTAAATACCAAAAAAAAAATCTAGAAGTAGAGCTATGGTTCAAGTGGTAGAGCCTCGAGCCTAAAGATTTTTTTACTTGGGTGAACACACACACACACACACACACACACACACACACACACACACACGCACGCGTGCACACTCACATATGATCACATAATAAGCATGTATTGAAACATCATATGGATCCCTATAATCATATGCAATTTTTATAATCTTATTTATTGCTTAAAGAGTCAATTGAGAGTCTGAGTGTGGCAGTCCATGCCTGTAACCACAGCTATATACAAGGTTGAGATGGAAGGACTGTAGTCCAAGGATGGTCCTTGGATCTAGTGAGATCCTATCTGAAAAATAAGCTAACCCATAAAGAGCTGGGTGTATGGCTTAAGTAGTAGAGCACTTGCCTTGCAAGGCAGCCAGGGCTTTATGTTCAAGCCCCATTACCCCCCAGAATAAAATTTAAATAAAATAGTTTTTAGCAAGCAAATAATTATTCTATTAATAAAGTGGGCAAAGAGGAACAGGGTAAAAATGATTAAAAACAAATGTACTTATTGCCTTACCCATGTAACCATAACCCTCCAGCTCATCACCTTTTCAATAAAAATAAAATTAAAAAATTTAAAAATAAAGTCATCTGATCCTGGAGAAACTGACTATAGATTTGATTCTTCAAGACAAACAGACAAGATCCCCTTCTATAAACTTACAAATCAAAGCAATGGGCAGCAGTCAGGACCCATTGCTCTCCGATGATGGACCCACCACACACGTGGTTTCGCGATGTCAGCTTGACTTGCAGGCTCACCTGCCAGGGCCACTCTCCCAAAGAAGAGTTCGTTCCCCCAACAATGCGTGCATTTGTTTTTGTCGTGCAGACTAAAACGAGAGGGTTTGCAGCACAGGGTCAGAGCTGGGAGAAATCAAGAGTGGAGGAAAACGAGATACCCAATGCTGTCCTGAAGACGAAGCCACCCAATGCAACAACCCAGCTATCCCTGGACAAGGGCTTCAAAGACTCACCAGAGCCGTCCCCCGTTTTGCACAGTCTCAGAGAATAGCCAGAGCTCCAGTGGGCCCCAGATGTGATCCTAGCTGGGTTGCCATCCAGTGAGAACCTTAGGGAACATTTACACCTGCATCAAATGAACCATACAAAGAGTAAACCTTCAGAGAAAGAAATGGTAAGAAATACCTTGCCAGTCACCAAATGCATTTCCCCTTACTTCTCTCCTTTGCAGTCTTCCGGGAGGGATGAGAAAGTAAAAAACTGACAGCGAATTATCTTTGTGCAAGTGTCCTGGCAAGCAGTAGCTTCTTCCTCAAAAGTCACATTCAGCTCATCTCCTCTGAAGTCGACCCCAGAGTAGATTTTGGAATGGCAGGGTTCTATATCAAGTAACAACAGAAAAAGTTACAAAACAACCACAATCACCAAACAATAAACCACATGATCACATAGTTCTAGTGCCCTGAAGACTGCTACACCACTTGCACTTAGGGGAAAATAATCTTCATATCTGCCAGTCATCTAGTACCATCACCGACTCTCCTTACCGGGCAATGTCTTCCTGCAAGTGGCCAGGCTGTGTCCAGATATAGTGTTTTCTTGAATAGAGGGACTTGGGGTACCACTTTTAGAAGTCTTAAGATAACATGCATTTCTACATAATAAAAAGTATGAGAAACAAAAAGAAAGCTACATTAATACAAAATACTAAAGCAGTCTCTCTCTATTTTTGGGGGGGGGGGTTTGGTCGTGGGGCCTGAACTCTGGGCCTGGGTGCTGTCCCTCAGCTCTTCAGCTCAAGGCTAGCGCTCTACAACTTGAGCCACAGCGCCACTTCCAGCTTTTTTCTTTTTGCTTATGTGGTGCTGAGGAATCGAACCCAGGGCCTCGAACATGCAAGGCAAGAGCTCTACCACTGAGCCACCTTCCCAGCCCCTCTCTATATTTTTAAAAAGCAACTCTGAATGTTTTATTCTATTGAGAATCTCGACAAAGTAAGTTAGACTGTAGGATTCTAATAAATTATAATGTATACATGTAAACCAAGCCACAGTTCTGTCTGGTGAAAACTAATAACATATCAAAAGAAGATAATTGTAGAGTTCTACTTTCTAAATAGTGGCAGAGTTCCACTTTCTAAGTGAAAAAAAAAAAAAGAAAATCAAAGGATGAAATATTGGGATTTTTGCTTTTCTTATAAAATATATGCTGTCTGTTGGGCCCATTTGTATATTTTTTTACTTTATTTTCTTCCAGTCCTTGGGCTTGAACTCAGGGCCTGGGCACTGTCCTGAGCTTCTTTTGCTCAAGGCAAGCACTCTACTACTTGAGCACTACCTCTGGCTTTTTATGTTTATGTGGTACTGAGGAATTGAACCCAGGGCTTCATGCATGTGAAGCAAGAACTCTACCACTAAGCCACATTCCAAGTCCTGTATATATATATATATATATATATATATATTTAAAAGGATTAATTACTTAAGACTAAAGAGGTCAGATCAGAACTTAAATAAGGACACACAGGAATCTAATTTCTAGACAAAAAAAAAAATCTGAAAGGATATATTGCAGGTGAGTAGAGTAGTTTTCACCTGATCCAACCCAAAAATACCAGGAAGAAGAGTGTCAAATTCCTCTTCTCCAGGGTCATTTTTTTTTTGGTTCATAGTTTCACAGTGATTGATATTTGTTTTATGTAAAACAGGATACAGCATCGCATATGCACTAAATTGAGTCTGGCAGAAAATTACATCCTTAAACTGCAGCTGCTAGGGTTTGGGAGAAGACAAATAAAACATTTTCAAAACTCAGACAAGGATGTAAGATTGCTGAGCGGACAGCAGCGTGGGCTGCCCGCCACGCTCACCTTTGTGACTCTACGCTCCACGCGTTCGTATAGAATGTAAAGAAGAGGCAGTTGGGGTGGTAAGTGCAGATAGTTCGACACACAAAAGCATCTGGAGAGACCACTCTGGCCACATCCATATCTGAAAAGGCTCGATGCTGGAACAGATCCATATGGCAACCTGTTGTACTCACGGAGGAAGAGCATCCTTTAGTGGGTGAAATGGGCTAAGTTTGCTTGGACTTTATCATAATAAGGAAGAAAATTCTGATGAATTTTCTTTCTCTGTGAACTTATAGAACTATACATGCTAAGGGCAAAACTATCTGTTACAATTCCTGCAAACCTCTGTGCCGTTTGGGGATAGGCAACACTATTCTAATGCTGATAAGAGAGAAATTCCATGCCATCAAAGAAACTGAATAATAATCTTTGCTCCCATCTCCTCCTTCCCCCTTCCCCAAAACATTTCGGTTACTCAGTGTATATTTGTGTTTTCCTCCTACTCCCTCATCCTTAATTGGCTTTAGGGACAGTGATTTAACAGGTTTATGTTCTATGTTCTCAGATATTATGAAAAACTTTTTAATAAAAGGAGAGCAACAGAAATCCTAGGTAGATGATAGAAATGCCATGTGTCTCCTTAAGAGTAGAACTGGAAAAAAATTCCTTTCATCCTCCTGACATAATGTTATTTCTCATTTATTTTTGTGTTTATATTATTTACTCAACTTGATATGATAACAATAGTTCTATTAAAGTTATGGAATAAAAGAAATGCAAATCAAAACAACATTGAGATATCACCTCACTCCAGTTAGAACAGCAAAAATCAAGAACTCTAACAACAACAGATGCTGGAGGGGATGTGGACAGAAAGGAACCTTACTTCATTGTTGGTGGGAATGTAAACTTGTTCAACCACTTTGGAAAGCAGTATGGAGGTTCCTCAAAAGACTCCACATAGAGCTCCCCAATGACCCAGCAATCCCACTTTTGGGCATTTACCCAAATGATCACAAACAAGGCCACACTAAAGCTACCAGCACAACTATGTTTATTGCAGCATTATTTACCATAGCTAAGACATGGAACCAACCCAGATGCCCCTCAGTAGATGAATGGATCAAGAAGATGTGGTATATATACACAATGGAATTCTATGCCTCCATCAGAAAGAATGACATTTCCCCATTTGTTAGGAAATGGAAAGGCTTGGAAAAAATTATATTAAGTGAAGTAAGCCAGGCCCAAAGAAACATAGGTCCCATGGTTTCCCTTATTTGCAATATCTAGTATAGGTATGAGTCAAGCGGAAAAAGTCAGATAATGTGATGTTAGGAAAACGAAACCTCAAATATGTATTTTAATGTTTTTGTTTCTTTCATGCATGTGTTTCTAACACATTTATAAGATTATTTCTTTGTTGCTTTGTATGTCCCTCCCCCACAGTGTAACCCCCGCTTTCACTATATTTGATGTCAGTATAACATGTGGAGGAGACGGGGACAAACAAGTCGTTTAAGGATTCAGGTGGACCTGTTGCAACAATGAGAAGTACAAAAAGTCATGTCAAAACCAGCTTTACAATGTCGGTGGGGGGGGGGGAGGGGGGGTATGATTGGGTGGGAGGGAGGGGGGAGGCTGGGAAGGGAGGTGAAGGGTAAACAAAGGAGGAGGCTGCAATGCTTGGTAAGAAATGTATGCATTATCCTGCCCATGTAATTGTAACCCCTCTGTACAGTATGTTCTCAAATAAAATAAAATAAAATTTAAAAAAAAAAATAAAGTTATGGAAGCTTAGACATAATAATAGCATTTATAGGAAGAATGAATGTAGTCACAAGTTAAATGTACAGAGTTGTACTGAAAGAGTCAGAGGAGAAACAGATAAAGAAAGAGACAAAAAGAGAAACAGAAACAGAGACAAAGGGACAGAAACAGAGAAAGAGATAAACAGAGAGACAGAGAGAAGCTCCTATGATACCTTCATGTAAGCAGTCTCTGAAATTATCAATTACTTGAATGAAAAATCAAATATATAAGCCAGGCATTGTTGACTTATACCTGTAATCCTAGCTACTCAGGAGACTGAGATGTGAGGATTGAGGTTTGAAGCCAACAAGGAGAACAAAAGTCTATGAGACTCTTACTTCCAACTACCAGAAAACTGGAAGTGGAGGTGTGGCTCAAAGTGACAGAGTGCTAGCCTCGCGCACAAAAGCTCAGCAATAGCTCCCAGGCCCTGAGCTCAAGCCCCATTACCGACCAAAAAAAAAAAAAAAATCAAATATAACCAATGTATAGCCAACAAAATTAAGAAGAGTGAGGAAAGGGGTGGGTAAAAGATGGATGGATGAGAATGTTGAAAGGTGTAACATTGATGAAGATATATTCACCAATGTCTTGTTAAATGGCAACTTTCTGTACAACTACTTAAAGATAATAATTTTAAAAACCAAAGTAAATTAAGAAAAAATCTGATATGCGCAGATCCTGACAGCTGGAAATGAATGCATGGGACACTGATGCCAGCCTACAATTTGCATATTCACAGGGATACCCAATGGATTGTTCACAACTTTACTGAGATATTTGTAGTTGTGAAAAATGCATTATCTCATGACAAGGTCCATTTCTTTTCTGGATCTTGAAGCTGTAGGGATAGTTTTTTCTTATATTCTGCACACATGTATCTATCTTAAGCTCACCTATAGAACCACCTAGACTAGTCTAATCCCATATTTAATGGCAGCCCTTCAAAACAATTATGTAGTAACAGCTGACAATCTTGTCAGCTCTCTAGTGATCACAGCAAACACTATCAGCAAGTGTTGCTACTTTTGAATCAGCACTCTTGTGAGATTTGGTCCTCAATGTGTTGATTGTTGGGAGGAGAGGCTTCTTGGGAAGTATTGTGAATTTCAGACCCCCTGTGAATGAATTAATGCTTTTCCTATAGTACTGGATTAGTTTCTCTGCAGAAAGATTGTTACAAAGAAAAGCTTCCTCTTGGGTTTTGGCTCTTCCACAACTGTCTACTTCCCTTTGCACTTTTCCCCTTGTTACAATGCCTCCAGAGGCCCTTTCCGGATATGGTCACTTCCCAGACTCCAGAATCAAAGAACTGAATAAATGTCCTTTCTTTATAAATTATCTAGTCTCGGGGCTTTTCTGCTAGAGCAACAGAAAAAATAAGCAAAAACGAATGCTCCACACAGAAGGGAATACATCTGAATTACCACTCTTAATTCATAGTCGTATCTTCAAAAACTCTCCCAGAACATATATGAATCTAAAAGTACATATTTGAAACAACAAATATGGCATGGAGCATAGAAAGGATATGTGGGAAGGAAAAAGAGTTAAATAGGTAAAGATACCTGATGTTTGGAACTTTGCAATCTTCCACACTGAGGGCCTAATACAGAAACCAATGCAAGAGCTAGCTCAAAGCTAGCACACCATACTGTGTAGCAATGTCATGGCAACTGTCTAGATATTCTAATTGAAATTACTTATATGTCTAAAATAACGGAATTCTATGGATGCATCATGATAGAGTCATTTCACTAAATATGGCCTTAACAATTTTCTCTATATATTCTTTGAACTAGTGTCCTATTGCTGCTGTTAGAGGGGTATTATTATAAACTGAGAGGCTTTAAACAACATAAACTTATTATCTTAAACTCCTAGACATCAGGGATGGGATGTAGCTCAAAGGCAAAGCGCTTGCCTAGCAAGTGCAACATCCTGGGTTCGATCCCCAGTACCAAACTAGAAAAGACAAAAAAATACAGTTAAAAAAAAAACACAACTCCTAGACATCAGAAGTTCACAATTGGTCTTGATGGGCTACCATCAAGATGGCAGCAAGGTTTTGTCCCTTTGGGTGGCTCCATAGAAGTATGATTCCTTGCTATTTTCAACTTCCATAGGTCACCTTTTGCTCAAGTCTTGCTTAGGGACACTTCCTCCATCTTTAGCAGCATAACATCTTCAGCTCTCTCTCTCTGATTCTGACCCTTCTGTCTCCCTTTCCCTCTCCATCTCTCTTTTCCTCTCTTCCTCCCTCCCTCTCTATCTCCAGCCCCCCTTTCTTATAAGAACTGGATCTGGCACACTGAGGTCTTGGAGAGTAATGCCTATTTCAAAGTCCTTCACTTGATAACCTCTCTCACCAACACACTCACAGGCTTCAGAAATGAACACATTCCCCAGGGGAACTCTTGCACTGCCTACTGAACTCAGTGAAGTGCTAGTCATCCAATTACCGATTTCTGAAAGTGCGCAAGGCTTCAGGGAGAATCCAGATACCACACTGTCCAGCACCTTTATACTCATGGGCGTACCACTTGGACTGTGTTTTAACAGGCAGTTGTTCCTGAATATGAAGAGAAGAGAAGACTTTGCTTCCTATTTATTAAGATGCATGCAATTTCCCAGGTAATATTTGGCATTGATATGATCTACAAGCAGTGGCATTTTAAAATGTCAAGGCGAACAAGAACGTGGTAGTATGTAGGTTAGGGGAATAATGAACTGGCAGACATTTTCCTCCATTCCCCTGCAGAGGAGGGGTTAGGGTAAGAATGGAGGGGAGTGGACGGAGTCTTTTTGGTTTGTATGTGCCAGTACGGAGGCTTGAACTAGGGGCCTGGGCACTACCTTTAGCTTTTTCATTCAAGGCTGACACTCTACCACTTGAGTCACTGTTGCATTTTTAACCTTTTGGAGATAAGAATCTCGTGGACTCTGCCTGGGCTGGCTTTGAATGGTGATCCTCATTCCTCAGTATCCTGAATAGCTAGGATTACAGCTGTAAGCCACCAGAACCACAAGTGGAAAGCCTCATTCCAAACCGCCACTCCCAAACAGAGCCTGTGGGTCAAGTAGATTCTAATCTCTTCAGGAAAAATGCCATTAAAATTGAGTAAATAAGCAAAGAGACTAGGACTCAATCTTTGGTTTTAATTGGAGAAAAACAAGTTACAAGTCACACACAAAAAAAACCCTCCCCCCCCCCACTCGCCCCCACCCAATGGCAAAGAACAAACCTCATGGTTCACTCACCGATACTCTGCATTGGGAAATGTTTGTGTGGCATATGTAAAAAAATGGCAGTGAATATTATTGGTGCACAATTTTTGGCATTCTTCAGGACTTGTAACTTTAGATATATTGAAATTGGACCCTCTCATGTCAATGTTTTCATAAATGTCCCGGTGGCAAGCTGTATAAATGAAATATGCGGAGCAAATTCAGACAAATTTCTTTCTAGAGGAGGATCATCAACACCAATAAGGCAAGGCAGTTTTGAATCATTATATCCCACTTTGGGGGTACTGCTGTATTAACTGGGGACTTAATGTTTTTATTATGACCCTAAATGATCTAATTCTACATGAAATACACACCACACACACACACACACACACACACACACATGCATGCATGCACATACACACACAGAATCTTAAATGCTAGAATTAAAAAGGAATTGTTCTACTTATAAACTTCAAAGCATATACCTCAATACAGGTCACATTTTGTGTTGAAATTATCAGTGGGAAGTGGGAATGTTTATACAAGTTTCAAATAACCAGGATATTGATCATGAGTGCTATGGGGATTATTTCATTAAACAACCTTTGACATGTGCCACTGGATGAAGAATCTTTTTTATCTTAATTTCTCTACTTTCAACTAGTCAAACTAATTTTAAGAATAAGGAGGCCAAAAACATGTAAGTTAAAAGTGAAGCAATACATTGAAGTTGGGGTAAATGGGCCATCCCCAGAGGTGTTCATGGACATATGCTGATTATAGAAATGGAAATTCTTCAAATTCGCTGCAGATAAGAAAAGGAATAGGCTAAGATATAGGAGAAATATTTACAACAAAACTCTTTCTTTATGATTATCTGAAAGCTTTACCTACATCTACATGTTTTTGACTAAAATTCATCTTGAGCTTGGAGACCTTATGTTCTTCCTGGAATTTTTATTTTATTTTAATCTAAGGCATTCTGAGATAGTTAGAAAAAAAATCTTTCAAATCAAGTTTAATGAGTAAAACTAAATTTGGGGACAAATTAACCATAACTGGCAGTATTGGGAATGGCACATTTTTTTCCCTTTAAATTTTGCTGAAAGAGAGGATAATGAGAAATTACATTTCACTGAAAACTTGTACCAAAGTTGTATTAGTATATAAATTTTATTTTATTTATGTACTTTTTTATTAACTAATTTTTTTATTGTGAAAATACTGTACAGAGGGGTTACAATTACATGGGCAAGATAATGAGTACATTTCTTATCAAGCATTGTAGCCTCCTCCTTTGTTTACCCTTCCCATCCCTTCCCATCTCCCCCCCCCCACCCAATCCTCCCCACCTCCCCCCACACCAAAGTTGTAAAGTTCGTTTTCGACATAACGACTTGTACATTTCATTGTTGCAATGGGTCCACCTGTATTACTATTATTAACTAATTTTTTTTTTATTAATTTGATTTCCTAATCTACTTCACCTCAGATTAACTAGGCTAAGTCATGCCTCCATATTATTACTCAGGCATTGCTATCCTTTATTATTAACTATTTAAAAATCAGAATATGTTTAAAATTTGTGTGTATCAATTGTGTGGTATTGATGAGAAAAAATTGAAAGTATCTGAAATTTTACCCTACAGAATTAACTGTAGATAGTAAAGATAAAATAGTAAGGATACAGCTCAGCCAGTGAGATAATTTTTGTAACCCTTTTTATTTTCTGATCAGCCCATCATTGTAGAGAAATAGTCTATTACTGTTAGGTTTTTAGGATAGTGTAGAAAACATTTCCTGTACCATCAACAGCAACATGTGTCATCCTAGCCTTCAGATTTTTTTCTAACAAGTATTAGTCTCAGCAGGATTCAAAGAACCCAAACCTTCAGGTTGGCTGATATCCGAAAAGCTTTCCCAAAACCTTGTCGATAGCACTATATTGACATTTTTGGGCCAGAAATTTCTTTATTGTGGAGACGGTTCTGTGCCTTTTAGAATGTTCATTGACAGCTCTGGTCTCAACTGACTATGTAAAGCAGCAACATCTCTCTCAGTGACAATCCCCAATGACCCTAGGCACTGCTAAATATTCTCTGGGAGGGGAAGGACAAAGCGCTGCTGATTGAGAATTACAAATTACCCTCAAGTAACTTAGAAGAGAGATTCCCTGAGTTTTCTTGAAGTGACTTACCGGGCACCAAGTCAAGCAGCGGCTTTTGCTTGCATATGAATTCGTTTTCTGCAAAGCTTAGAAGTCTGTGCTAATTTCATGACTAATAAGAGCCTCAGAGGGTCAGGGATGATGATAGAGCAGGTGAAACTGATCAAAATATATTGTAAGCAAATGTGGAAATGTAACCATTCCAAGTAACTAATATGGGCAAGTAAATAAATAAGCAAATAAGCTTCATTAAGAATGTTGACTGATTAAGACAACATTCGTAGCCAGAACACTACTCCATCTGTTTTAGCTTTCTTGCTACTCCCTTCCAAAAGTCCATGGCAGTCCAGCATTGGAGCAAAAACTATTCCATGATAATCCACTAGGAACTCAGGTATAGCTAAGCAATCCACCCCTTACCACTTATTTGATATCCGCATTGTTTTAAGGAATATCCAGATACTGCATTTGTTCGATGCATTCTTGGCAGGTCTCCAGTCACACTGTCTTTCAAGAAGCAACCAAACCTGTTTTCAAAACAGGAGTCACTTAGGAAGCAGAATAATGAACCTGCATCCAGAACATGCCTAGTGTTGTCTATATATTAACATGAATAGGACAGCAACTTGTGAGAGAAACATTCTTAGAATCAGTTCCATAACATCCAGTAGTTTCTGCAACTCCTCACCTCAGCATTGTTTTTCTTTCTAGACAGTGTGTGTGTGTGTGTGTGTGTGTGTGTGTGTGTGTGTGTGTGTGTGTTCCAGTCCTGAGCCCTAAACTCAAGACCTGGACCTTGTCACCCAGCTTTTGAACTCAAGACTAGCATTCTACCACTTGAGCCACAGTTTCATTTCTGGGTTGTTTTTTTTTTTGGTAGTTAATAGGTAATAAGAGTCTCATGGACATTCTTTCTTGGACTGACTTTGAACTGCAATCCTCAGATCTCAACCTCCAGAGTAAGAAGGATTATAGACATGAGCCACCAGCACCTAGCAATAAACACATTTAAATAAATATATATAATATATAATGTTATTATATATAATAATATATACATATATATGTATCAAAAGTCAACCATATTGAAGATTGTTCTAGCATTTCTTAACTTTCAGGAAATGATTTTTCAACTTGAGATTTTTTTAAGTAGTTTATTTAAAAAGTTTAATTAGTCATGAAGTTGAGATGTATATATAAAGGTCATCTTGCTTAGTAACTCCTTGTAGTCTCCGTCTAATGCAAGGCTCCCTTCCATCTGAAAAGTCAACTGTAAGGTTAACTTCATTGTTTACATACTCTGGAATCAACTTTTAATCAACTTTTAATAGGATGACTTTTATCCAATTGGAGAGATATCTGAATTAGTGTTGAACAACACATTGACCATAGACAATCCTGAGAGATGCTACAAAGCTGTGTGCAATTTGCATACAACGGATACTACTTTGAAAAGTGACCATTTGAATTAGTGATGAACTCTCTTGTACCTTTTCTTTGGATCCTTGGTTGAGCTTGAAGGGAGAAAGCTGAAGAGCAAACACTTGGGGTGAAATGTACACACCATCTGACAGTGGTGGGCATCTGGGCTGTACAAGGCGGTCACATCCCCACCTCTGAAGAAGGTGTTTTTGTGTAGTTGAGTCAGACAACCTACAATACAATTGTTAAAATGTTGATCTGGAATGAATATGAATGACTTTTTAATAAAAATATATTTATATTTTTACTATATTGCCTTTCCCAATGGCTACCTAAAGACCTTTATGTGACTTTAATCATAGAAGCAGGATGAAAAACATGAAGGCAACTGTTTGAACAATATACAACTCCTTAAAGTCATTTCATGGTACTTCTATATAAAAAATTTAGTTGGTTTTTAACCATATAATAAGCTACACATAAATTATCCCCAATAAATATAATCATAACTTTGTTTCTGCTTGATGTCTAACATGAAAATATCCTATCTTAAAGATAATAGTGTTTGATCTATATTCAAAACACTTTTAGAATAAATATCTCTCTAAATTCTCACACTTTGTAAAGGAAGCTTGAGGCAGGCTTCATTATCTTTATCTAATACTCTGTGTGTGAGAGACATGAGAGAAAGAGAGAAAGACAGACAGAGAGAGAGAGAGAAAGACAGAGAGATAGAGAGAGAATCAAGTGACTGAATCTCAAGCCATTCAGAGACTCACATATTTCATAGAAACATGAGACAAAATCTCAAGTTAATCTGGTTCCCAACCTTTTCCCCTTTTCTAGAAATGTTAAAATGTGACTCCTAATCCCAAACTCACTTCTTAGATAGCTTGAACAACTGCATCCTTATGCTAAATTGAAAAAAAAAAAATCAATTTGCTTGCTGTTTGGAATTACAACTCTGAAATACTTTGCACTTCCCATATTATTGAAAAATTATCTTCACTGGATTTAATATATGAATTTGAATTTGCCTTGAAAGACCCAATTCAATGTCCATTTGATAAACTTTGCAGTTTAGTGAGTACATGTGTTTTAGTCAGCCATGAGTCCATTAACCATGGGACAGTTCATAACAACCATGTACATTGCTAGCGTGGTAGTCACATTTCAACTTAATGGGTTTCTCATTTTCATATTAAATTTTAGGAAATGGGCAGGTTGGTTGACACATTTCATTAAGCACCGAAGACTAGTATTTTTTTCTGCACTATTGTAACCCTCTGGGGATCTTGATCCAGATTCTATTTTGATGATCCAAACCAGCTTCTCTTCCTTTGTTGTTGTTGTTGTTGTTTTTAGTGTTTTTATTATCCTTAAGTTGTGCAAAGGAGTTATCATTCAACAAAGCGATATATGAAAACAGTGATTTTGTTCAATGTTGCCCCTTTCAGCACCAGCTTCTCTTAAGATGCCTGACCTCTTGGGTAAGATTTAATTTTGGAAAGAGCACAGATAGAAACTTCTGGGAATAAAAGTTCCCTCATGTGTATACCTGGATTTCACCTGGATTTCACATAACCTATTGAGTGGTTGGCCCAGTGACAATACTAACTATAAAGAGACGTGATCTGTAGATAATTAGTGTTTGGAGGCTGCTTCATAATTACAAAGCAGTCATCTCTCCCCAGTGCCTATGCACACAGTGCAAACTATGACCAATGTCAGCCTGGCAGTACCAATGCTGGCCATGTGACTCAGATAATAGAAGAGGGTGGATGATTAGAAGTAGTGATGATGATGATGATGATGATGATGACGTCAATGACAGTATTAGCTTTGTATTGTATAGTAGAGAGAATTTAGCAGAAGTTATCACATAATGATTACGGCTTTCACAATTTTTCCACGTCCCTCCCCATGTCCTTGGATACTGGGCAGGTAATATGATCTTGTTAAAAACTGCATGATTAATAATACTAAGAAAAATACTTTATGTTAAATCAGTGACTGATATGAAAAATTAATTTGCTAGAGAAATACAATAAAAAGGTATATGAAAAGCAGTACAAAAATAGTAAGAAAAAACTAATATTAAATAAGAAATAAGAAAAATATATTAAATTAATGACAGATATGAAAAAATAATTTACCAGAGAAATACAACAAATAAGTATATGAAAAGCAGTAAGAAGCATAAATGTATACATGGTAAAATAAAAAGATGTCATTTTTATCCATAAGATTAGCAGCAATTAAAAATTAAATAACCAAAGCCAGGCACCAGTGGCTCAAAACTGTAATCCTAGCTACTCAGGAGGCTGAAATCTGAGAATCATGGTGCAAAACCAGCCCAAGCAGGAAAGTCCAGGAGACTGTTCTCTCTGATAAACCACTGGAAAACCAGAAGTGGTACTGTGGGAGTTCTAGCCTTGACCTGAAGAGCTGAGGGACAGTGCCTAGGCCCAGAGTTCAAGCCTCACGATGGACCAAAAAGACAAAACAAAACTAAAACTAAAACTAAAAACTAAATAATAAGTGTTGATATAGTACCGCTTTTGTTTCCAAATGATAGAAACCTAGTCCAAAGTGCCTTGCGCACAGATGAAAATTTTGGTTCAGAAGCCAAAAAGTCCATGATGAATCGATGTCAAGAGTACTAGAACACTGTGCTCTATAGCACACAATTTTTCTGCATTGACTTACTTTGTTCCATGGTACTACCACTGGTTTCAAGATCTACATAACAAGTGGGTAGTACTCATAGCTTAGGCCTTTGTATTCTCTTATGGTTCAACTCAAATTAGCAACTTAAGTGTCTTATTTCTAAAAGTCTAAGCAAAAATATTTTTACAAGACTTTGACTCTGAGTTTTTGTAGCAGGCAGGATGGATACACTTCCTGCTTCTTGGTCTGTTGGGGTATAATTTCTAGCACTACTGTTAACCACAAAAGCTACATCATCAGAACCATATAGACCAAAACTGGATGGAGGAAGTTTTCCAGGAGAAAGTTTGAATACTGTGTCTGGTAAGGAGACTACATGCCAAACCAAAAAAAAAAACACACCAAAAAAACAAAAACTGTTAATTATGTGGTAATAATTGTAGCATAGAAGAACATTAAAGAAGAGGTAACAAATGAAGGGCACTTGCAATTTAAAGAAAGGGAAACAAAAGCTTTTTCCTGTAGACATTACATATCTTTATAAATGTAAACCAGAGGAATTGATTTTAGCCATACAACAATCATTGTGGTTTGACCATATCTTAACTCTAATTTCCGGAAGCTATTCGTAGTGGTAGCCCATAAGAAAATCCCATTCTATACTTAATCAAAGTCAGTGTACTGACTCATTCTTATTCTCTGAAAACTAATAGGGTAAAAAGAGAAAGAAATAAGATTGAACCCCTTTGTTTAAAAGGATTCATGTAGACGATCAAAGGGCTGGTCAAACAAAGTTAAATTTAAACCAGGGTCCTTCATTTTGGAAATATTGTTCTAGTAGCTTGAAATAAAAAATACCCAGTACTTGTCAGATATTTTTATTGAACCTAAGCACTATAAAATGCTTAGTACGCTTTTAAATTTTTAGGTAAAGTTAATCTTTTTAAGTATTGGCAATAAAAACTGAGTACTGGCTGCCTGTTTTGAAATCTGCTTTACAGGAACTCCTCTCCAAACACATTTTTGGTAACTCGTGCCTTAAGGGATTTTAATTTCTGAGCTCTTCTCTTGGTCAATTACATGTGTTTATAGCAATACATCTGGAGAGTAGTTCTTTTCCTTGAAACATTAAAATGACATCTGAATCATCAAGAGCTTTCCTCCCTCTCCCAAAGCTTTATGCTTGGTAACTTTCTCCAAGGTGGTAAATTTTGCTTAACAATTCCTCTCTCACACACCATTAACTTTAACTGTTAGAGTTAATACACTTACCACAGGAAACTGTGGAAAACAAACAAAGAAAATGAGCAGCTTGGCTGAATGAAAACATCCTAAAAAGAAACACACAATATAACTCTGCTGGATTTAGACAGTATTTAACATGGGACTTACTTTAATAGATATACGTACATATTTTCTTGTAAATGTCTATATTGCTAACCAAAGCACAAAATAACTAGTATGGAAACTGGGGTGGCTTTTAGGGTGGGTGAGAGAGGGGTGCTTGGTATATTTTGTATGTAGAAATTGCAATTTTATAATGCTTCCTAAGATACACATGGAAATTGTTAGCATTGTATTTGTTGTTAATTAGCCATCTATTTTGCTATTAATTTTAGAAAAGGAATTGACAGAGGGATTAAACAGTTATAAAACCTCTCAATTTAAGTGCAAATAAAATAATTGCAAATGTGGAGATCCCTACATAAATAAATCCTCTGAAAATATCCAAGCCCATAAAAGTCTAATTTTCAAGCAGTCAAAAATCACTTTTGGCTTTCAAATATTTTACATTTAGATATTTCCACTTATGAGAACATTAGTTCCATCTAATATTGCTAAATACTCAGGAAATAAAGAGATAAACTAACAGATTCTTCATAAGGCAAATATAGTTTTTTATAAAAAAAAAACCAAAACAAAACACTGTATTTGGGAATGATCAGAATAATATACATTTGCTACCTGTTAGCCCAGTTGCTTCTGGAAGCCGAGAGCCTCTCTTGCCATGAAAAATGAACAGTTTTCAAGCTGCCTTAACATGGCCCTGCAGATCATATTTGCTTAGCTTCAATATTGACTTTGGCTTTCTGCCACCAGTTTCAACTTTTTGTCCTGTCAATATACTCCATGTACATCTGTGTTCAGATATCCAATATATTAACCATTTCAGGGAATGATAGAAGCGATAGAAGAATAAAAATTCCAGGCACTCGCTCCTTTGCAGAAACATCAACTTGAACAACTTTCCCTGCACCAAGACATGCCACAAAGAACGAAAGCACCCAGGTGAGAGGTAACAGTGCCTGGTAGAACTGAAAGAAGAAAAGACATGTTAAAGAGTATAGAAAGACAGTCTCACATTCATGATACTCTGCTGTGGAACCGAGGCACTTCAGCACAGAGATATCTTCTGCCTGGAGGAAGGAGAGGGATGTGACTGCCCAACATTACTGCAGATCCCAACATCAAGCC